GCTCCTCCTCTCCCCTCCTCCCGCTCCGCCTCCCCTCTCCTCCTGCTCCTCCTCTCCTCTCCTCCTGCTCCTCCTCTCCTCTCCTCCTGCTCCTCCTCTCCTCCTGCTCCTCCTCTCCTCCTGCTCCTCCTCTCCTCCTGCTCCTCCTCTCCTCCTGCTCCTTTCCTCCTCCTCCTCTCCTCACCAATAAACTCATTTTCATTCCTGCCTCGTCTTCATGGTTCTTTGGGGCTCTCTTGATGCCCAACCCAACCCCACAGGACTCCATGGAGGTTCCACCACCTCCTCACCCTCTCCAAGCTTCTCCCTCGGCTTCTCCTCCGCTCGGAGCCGAGGGAGGTGTTGGCTCCACCACCCGACGTGGTTTGGTGGCCTCAGCAGGAGCTGCTCAGGGTGGAAAAGGAGGGAGGAAATGGGATCTGGGGGAAAAGAAGCTCTTGGGTTTGGTTGGATCTTGGTTTGGGATCTCAAGGGAGAAACATTTCCCATGGGATCTGAGGTGTGAAAAGCTTTTGGTTCATGAGTTAGTTGGATTCTGGTTTGGATCTCAAGGGAAAGCATTTCCCATGGGATTTTAGGAAGAAGAAGCTTTTGGTTCATGAGTTAGTTGGATTCTGGTTTGGATCTCAAGGAAAAGCATTTCCCATGGGATTTTAGGAAGAAGAAGCTTTTGGTTTTGTGGAGTCAGTTGGATCTTCCTTTGGGATATCAAGGGAAAAGGATTTCCCATGGGATTTGAGGTGTGAAAAGCTTTTGGTTCATGAGTCAGTTGGATTCTGGTTTGGATCTCCAGGAAAAGCATTTCCCATGGGATTTTAGGAAGAAGAAGCTTTTGGTTTTGTGGAGTCAGTTGGATCTTCCTTTGGGATATCAAGGGAAAAGGATTTCCCATGGGATTTGAGGTGTGAAAAGCTTTTGGTTCATGAGTCAGTTGGATTCTGGTTTGGATCTCCAGGAAAAGCATTTCCCATGGGATTTTAGGAAGAAGAAGCTTTTGGTTTTGTGGAGTCAGTTGGATCTTCCTTTGGGATATCAAGGGAAAAGGATTTCCCATGGGATTTGAGGTGTGAAAAGCTTTTGGTTCATGAGTCAGTTGGATTCTGGTTTGGATCTCAAGGAAAAGCATTTCCCATGGGATTTTAGGAAGAAGAAGCTTTTGGTTCATGAGTCAGTTGGATTCTGGTTTGGATCTCAAGGGAAAAGCATTTCCCATGGGATTTGAGGTGTGAAAAGGTTTTGGTTCATGAGTCAGTTGGATTCTGGTTTGAATCTCAAGGGAGAGACATTTCCCATGGGATTTGAGGTGTGA